AATCTCCCCTTCCAGTAAAATTATTTGAAAATTCTAAAATTACATATATAATTTGACATATATGATTTTGTATATGCAATTAAGTATAATAATATATAATTTATAATGTTAAATACAACATGTCACATGTAATAAAGAGTATATTCATTTAGGGCAATGAGAGTATCAGTCCTACTTAACTTCGTATTTTCTCTTCCTCTCCTTGTGCACTAAGCTGGTTTATTTTAATTTATATAAATGGAACACATTTATGAGGCAGTTTTATTTTCTCTGCATGGTAGCACAAGGCTTCTTGACTCTGGCTGCTCTGTTATTGTAACTCTTATTTAGGAAGTTATGTGGGAATTTTTTTTAAATATGCCTTTTTTTGGCTTGTTTTTTTTTTTTTACAAAATGCAAACTAAAGTTATACAAAGATTTGTTCACATTATAGGTTCAGTTTCCATAGTTCAATAGAGCTCTTGAATATTTTTGTCCCAGCTATTGATGAAAGTTTTACTGTCAGTCTTGAATTTTAGTGTTTTAAGTATTCATTTGTATATTGTGAGAACATTCATCCACACACTTATCATTATATAGATAGAAATACCGAGATACCCCATATGAAGCTACACTGTAAATGATATATCACAGCTTATTTTTGAACCAATAATCACTAAGTGCTTGTTTGAAGAAGTGTGTCCCTTAAGTCTCTGAGAGAATTGACTTTAACATTTGAGATTTCTTTATAAAATTATTTTCAGGGATGAGCCTTCATTTTATTTCCTTGTCACTTTCTCCTGTCAAAGGCATTTGTTTTCTGTCAGCTCTTGGATGCTTACGTTCCTTCTAGGCAAATACAGAACCTGTTCACCTCTGCTCCTTTAGAGTTGGTATCATACACAGTGCTCTAGTGAGTCTCTCTGTAGGAATTATATTAATAGGTCTTTCTTTGTTCAATTAGGGGCAAACTATTAGATCTTAAAGCTCTTCTGGAAATGGTCTTCACAGTCTTCCAGTGAAGTTATGATCATGACCCTTGAATTGAATTTAGCTATGAAAATTCCTTTTGACAAAAATTATCTTTGGTTATACTTAGAACTGTGCTGAAAGAGAGAGTTGAGATATGGTCCTTCACCTTAAAATGTTTTCATTCTAGTGTGGGAGTTAAACATTTATTATAATAGCTACACTTTGATCAATTTTGTAAAAGAGGGGTTAATAAAATGATTTGAGATGATTAATTCTGTTTCCTAAGCAATGGAAGGAACAATCATAGAAACAAAAATCTAATTCACCATAGCAGGAAATCAGAAAAAAATACTGTGAGAAAAAAAAAACCATCAACATCAAGAGCAGAAATAGTAAACAAACCATAAACAGTAAATACAACATAACTTAGGTTCTGGAAATCTACAGGGAAGACCTAGGTTGTGCAGGTTGGGCATAAGTACAGGCAAACATATTCCCAGGTGGAGACATCAGCAAATCAAACTTTAGTAGGTTTGAAGATATTTACTCTGATAGAAGGAAAATAAAATGCCCAATATAACTTGTCTTGGAGTACATATTTGGGGAATTGAGGGTGAAGTTAACATTTTCAAATGGTCTTCTAAGCAACACCCTTGGTTTTGAAATTAGCTTATGAGTGATTCAGGCATTATGATGCAGAAGAATGATATGGTCGTATTTTTATGTTAGGAAAAAATTGGCAAAAGACTAGAGAGCTAAGGCCAAGGAAACAATAGGGAATAATTTGTTTCTTTCAGCTAAAGGTAGGCTTATCCTCCCTTCTGGAAGAGGAATAAGGCTGGGGAGGAAATAAAAGGGAAGACAAAAAGGAAGAAAACTAACTAAGAAAACATAAATGTTATTTATTCATACAAATCCAAATATATTAATTTCCCTCTCAGTGTTGAATGCTGAAAATAGGTAATCTTCCAAAACCTTTTTGTATTTTAACATATTATTATAATTAATATTATTATAAGTCTTGATCAAAAGTTTGATTTGAAATGATTTTTTAAGACACTGTGATTTATAAAATTATTCATAATAGAGTTTCAGATGCACAGTGTTTCAACACTAGTACCACCTCCAGTGTCAACCTCCATCCACTGATTTTCCAGTCTAATAAGTCATCCTACCCACCACCATGATTGGTCTCATTACAGTTTTTGTCAGTTTTCCTCCCATAAAACTTTGGAATACTCATTCTTTATTCTACTTGTATCAAAAACACCTTCAATCTTTCAAAACTTTAAAGCTCAGCTAGATTTTAGTTCTTTTTTAAAAGATGTTGACCTATATGCAAGATATAGAATACTGTGTTGGCCAGCATAATTTAACCTGCATGGAGTGAAAAATTAAAAATAGAAAAACAATTCAATAATTCAACATGATCACTGAGAAGGAAGAATTCAGATAAGAGAAAAAACTTGGAGTTTATAATCCAAACTTTTGTTTGTAATTTTCTCAATTTTGCATATTAAAAGAAGTGAGTACAAAATTGCTCTTCATACTATGCATTGTACTTTATATATGATAAGAGGTGAAAATATGTTATCACTATTGTAAGTATTCTTTCACAATGCTCCATGTAAAATAGGATTTATCACATATAAAATTCCGTGTTTTACTACACATTTTCAGTGGGTAAGTGGAGTGCACACATCTTTTGTACAAGAGCTTTAAACATTACTGAGAATGCATTCCTCATTTCTCTGCATGTAAGATTGACATGAATTTTGGCAAGTTCTCTAAAATAGTCCAATAGTCTAATAGATTCCATTAGCAGCATAGCTTAATTTGGCCATTATTTATTATACACCTAACATGTGTAAGGCATTGTGTTACTAAACATTTTCATGATAACAGTGATAAAGAATAAAATATTCTTTTGTAAAAGAATATCTTTTACAAAAATTAGTAAGTCCTTTATAAAAGTGAAGTAAAAAGGGATATATATATATATATATACTTATATATTATAATGATTACATAGATCTTGGACTGGAGCGATAGCACAGCGGTAGGGCATTTGCCTTGCACGCAGCCAATATGGCCGACCCAAGTTCGATTCCTCCGCCCCTCTCGGAGATCCCGGCAAGCTACCGAGAGTATCTCGCCCGCATGGCAGAGCCTGGCAAGCTACCCGTGACGTATTCCATACGCCAGACACAGTAACAACAAAGTCTCCAATGGAGACGTTACTGGGCCCGCTCGAGCAAATCGATGATCAACAGGAGGATCATGACCGTGACATAGATCTTAATCCAGTAAGTCTGTTTTACACACACACACACACACACACACACACACACTAAGCTTCTTATAACCAACAAGAATTTCTTTCTCATGGTTTTAAATACTAGAAATCTGAAATCATGGAGCCAATAGGTGCCACTCAGGTGAGGACATTAATATGTCACAGACTGCCAATGTCTAATTGTACCTTTCTTTTTAAAGTGGAAGGGACAAGCAGTTCCTTTAGGCTTTTACAAGGACATAAACCTCATTCTAAAGGGATTGATAGTCTGATAGCTTCACAAAGACCTCACTCCTTCACTTTACATATTTAAGATGTCAACATATAAGGAACCCTTATTTACTGCTGATGGGAATGTAGATAATTCAGTCTTTGGAAGACAACATGAAAAACAACTTCTCAAAAAACTAGAAATTGAGCTCCGTATGACTGAGTAATTCCATTTATTGGCACAAAAATCACCGTTTAGAAAAGACTTTTGCACGCCTATATTCACTATAGCACTGTTCACCATATTCAAAATCTGGAAACAACCCAAATGCCCAAGAACAGATGCCTGGATTAAAAAATCTATGGGGCATACACAAAATGGAGGTTGCTTGGCTATAAGAACAGAGGAAATCATGCAATTTGCTGCTACATGGATGAACCTGGAAAGAATCATGCTGAGTGAAAGTAGAAAGAGAGGGACGGACACAAACTGATCTCTCACATTTGCACGTAAACAGAAGGATAGTGGAGGAACAGCAACTGCCCAAAGGTAGCAGAAATTGAGAATTGACCTTGAATAGGATGTAGACCACAGAGGAGGGAGGGTGAGGATAGTTTGGAGAAGGGGATACTGAGACAACTGTGAAGTAGGGTGGTCACTCTGTGGGGAGGGTGTCTTTCAAGTTGGAATGTGTCAGCCTTGAAAACCTATCAGTAACAGTATTGTAAAACTAAAGTTCTTAAAATCAAAGCCATTTTATTTCAAAGTATCTGTCATAGAGACAAGTGGGGGAGGTTGGGGGAGGCAGGAGGGAGGGAAACTGGGGACACTGGTGGTGGGACGGGTGTTGGAACATTGTTTGCCTGAATCTCAATCATGAATAACTGTAAATAATGGTGCCTTGAAAATAAATTAATTGGGAAAGTATGCATTATATGTATGACAGGAGAACATAAACATTCAGATCCTTAACACACATGTATTAGAGCAACCTTCTACAGGAGCTAAAAGTTTAGGAAACCATGATGCATTGATGTTTCACACAATCTTTATGCAGGTACTCTTTCTAAGATGTTTTCTGGAAAAGCAAAAATAATTTTTTCCAATTACTTCACCTGAGACAAGTCGAACGAATAAGTGAATAATAGCAATTGTTATAAATGTTATACATAAAAAAGTGTATGTTTAGAAATAGATAAACTTAATAAAAATTTAAGACCAAGTGCATGGTTGTTTTGTCCCTAATATGAGAACATTCTGCCCTCTGATATAGTACTCTTGCCAGAGTATTATACTCTGATAAGTACTCTGATATAGTACTCTGATATAGAACTATAATGATAAGGAAATCAATCAAAATTACACAATTGTTCCTTTAGACAGGAAATACAGTTTTCCAAATTGTGGGACTTTTATTCCAGAAATATTTGACTATCATTGGGTTAAATAAAGGCTTGCACCTTATAAGAAAGCAAAATTACCCTATGTTTTTGTCTTTGGCCAATGCTTTCTAATTCTTCTTTTTCATATCTTTAAATACAGAATCCCCTTCACCTACAACTGAGTTTAGAAAATTCATTAAGTTCTGATGCTGATGTCACTGTCTCAATCCTGACCATGAACAACTGGTACAATTTTAGCTTGTTGCTGTGCCAGGAAGACTGGAACATCACCGACTTCCTCCTCCTAACCCAGAATAATTCCAAGTTCCACCTTGGGTCTATCATCAACATCACTGCCAACCTATCCTCCACTGAGGACCTCTTAAACTTCCTGCAGGTCCAACTTGAGAGCATAAAGAACAGTACATCCACCATGGTGATGTTTGGTTGCAACATGGAAAGTATTCGGCGGATCTTTGAAATTACCATCCAGTTTGGGGTAACGCCCCCTGAGCTGCGTTGGGTTCTGGGAGATTCCCAGAACGTTGAGGAACTGAGGACAGAAGGTCTGCCCTTAGGGCTCATTGCTCATGGGAAAACTACACAGTCTGTCTTTGAGTACTATGTACAAGATGCCATGGAACTGGTAGCAAGAGCTGTCGCCACAGCCACCATGATCCAACCAGAACTTGCTCTCATTCCCAGCACGATGAACTGCATGGATGTGGAAACTACAAATCTCACTTCAGGACAATACCTATCCAGGTAGGCTAAAAATCTGGGTTACATCCCAATTCAGAGGACTGTAACAGGAAGTGTATGTTTCTATTTAGCCATTTGGCAGAAATTGTGGCTCTGAGTAGTTTTATATTCTAATAATATTTATTAGGAGTCAGATATTCATATCTTACTCATATGCTCAATCATTTTAAGACCCTATTTTACTCTCTATTGGTTTAAGGCTGATTATTTTAAAATTCTGAGATTCATTTTTTAATTTGCAAATTAAAATTAGACTGACCAGCTTAACACTAAAGATACTATAAAATCATATATAAAAAGTATCTAACACTATACCTGGCTCTTAATAAATAAGTAACATTCATTTCTAACTCTTCCCACTCTCTCCCATATCAACATACTAGGACAGATCTCTCTAAATCTATAAAGGTTAGCCAAGCAGGAAATAGAATTTTCCTTCTCTTTCCAGACCTTGCTGTTTAAGACAACCTAGAGTAATGGGTAAAGGTATAGGCCTTGAGCAGCCAGTCTCTCTGAGGTTGGATTTTGCCTCAATCACTTACAACCTACAATTTTTGTGCTACTAATTTAACTTCACTGAGCACTACTTCTTTGTTTCCTATATGCATTTATGTAAAGTGCACATGATAGATGCATGGATAGATGATAAATTGATAGATGCAAGAATAGATGAATGGATGGATGATATATAGCAGGCCCTTATCAGACATTGATTGGAATTGACAAAGGTGATTGAAATTGACAAAGGGCAAATAAAAAGGAAACTATATAATTCTATCCTATATTATCTGTTGTATGGCTAATAAATAAAATTTATCTAAAAGTTTCTTTTCTTTCTTTTCCTTTTTCTTGATGAAAGTTAAGTTTAGTGGATAACCTCTGCCCTTGTGGTTGGCTGTTTCCACATGTTTATTCCACAACTTTGAAAGTTGTAAGAGTGTGAAGTTCAGAACTCAGCAGCGATTCACAGCGTATAAGGGTCAGTGAGAATGTTTTTATCTCCATGGGTGTGTTTTAGAATGAATTCAAAGAACCTCAGGAAACATACCAAAGACATCTTAAAGTCCCTGGGGAATACAGTGAAAGAGAAAGTTTCAAAGTGAAGCAAGGGTCAAGGAAAGTGAGCAAAACCCTGGAAGGAGTCTTTATAATGAATAACTGAAAAGCTGCCTTAAGCCATAAAACATCTGTGGATTTTTCATCATATGTATTTATCTTGTTGAATACAGCCTTTTTAGAAAGTTCGTTATTCTCAGTCCATAAGTCACATCTGCATACGGTAATTTTCTTAATTGTTCCTAAATTCTGCGAGGCTGACCCCACTTCTTCACTGCATAATGAAAGTATTGAGGATAATGAGCCATGAATAGCGAGTGTCAGAGTTATGCAAGCTTTCATTTCTCACACAGTCATTTTCAGTTTGGGCTGACAGAATTGTTAACATTTTAAAATGTTAATGAAATCACCCCAAACATGGATTTTGCTGCCTAGGCTATAGACTATAGAGAGCATTTCTCTAGGAAAACTACATAGGTGTGACTACAAGGATAAGGAATTTTATATTTTTGAGTCTTTGCATGACAGTGCAAATGTCTGTCATAACTAAGTACAGAAAAATCTACTCGGGGGCTAAGTCTCTAACTATATATTTTCAAGTTGACAGTTATATTTTATATATTTTAGTAATAACACCAAAATTTCATTTGTATGTGTGTTTATACTAATAACCATTGGCTAATAGTTGACTAGGGTGAGGCACATAAAACACAAGCTTGCATTCTGTCATTTGGAGCAAACAATCTAGAAAATGAGAATTTAAAAAATGAGTTATTAATTATAAAATAATGAAATACATAATTCTAAAAATTTGAGACACAGAGAAGAAATAATAAGCTCTTCTCAGAAACATTGAAAATGGAGATACATGAATTGGATCTTGGAAAATGAGTAGTTTTCTTCTTTGAGCAAATTTACAAATACATGAATAGCATTTGCAAATTCTCCCAGAATGAAAAAGAAAAGACAGTACAGTTGGACCTTATGCTGGCAATGAAGAAGATTTGGTATGATGCAGGAAATGCAGTTAATTTGATAAGATGCCACAGAGGAGCATTTATAATGCTAAGAGATTGATACTATATGGACAGTGAATGACAGTTAACTGGTAAAACATCAGTCTTGACATGTTTACAACAATATCAAAGCCCTGTACTAAATAAATCAAAAGTAAAAATATAAAACCTTACAATTTTAATCACTAGTATATGAAATTTTTTATTTCTAAAAATTAAAATCGAAATTGATTGAAATTGATTATATCTATATTTAATTCCTTTGCTGTATGCTGAACACATCAGTGAAACTGAGTATGAGTTTGAGGAATTAATTGCTATTCCTAGGATTTGCCCTTGATTGTATGAAGGCCCCAATCAACCTCACCAAAGACTGTAGAGTTACTCACAGCCTGGTAAGGCACCTGTTCATTCTTTATCAACTCCTAGAGTCTAGACCCTGATGGAACTATCAGTTTATTAGTTCTTGTTGGCCTAAGAGTCTCACAACTCTTGGAGAATTAATCGTAGTCCTGATAATCACTCAAGCTTTGGGGATAGCTACAAAATCTTGCTCTTCTTTTCTGAACAACTTATAAAATTCATTTCCATGAGTATGCAGTGATTGCTTCATTTATTCATACAAAAATATTTATTGCAGCTACTGAAGACTAGATCAGACCCATCTATAAAACCAGAAGTTTCAAACATAAAGACAGGCCCCTGCTTTCAAGAAACTGATCATCTCCATCTTTTCCCCCACCAGTAGAGTAGATTCTCCTCTAATTGATCATCTTTTAAATCCACTTTCATTGATCTAATTATTTGGTTATCATTTCTTAATTGGGACAACATCTATTCTTTTCGTGATGAGCCTTTGTCTTTAGCTGACATTTTCTAAGTTGACCTTGAAGAATGTTTCAACATGCAACTAATTCTTCTCCCTCTAAACTATGTTCATCTATATACTTGTAAAGTGAAGCAATAACAAGATTTACTGGCCTTTCATCAGTCGTAAAAGTACTTCATCTAATAATTCTGGACCTATTATATTTTAGGTTGTGAAACACTTGGAAAGTTTCAAAAAGAAAAGAAAATCTATTTTTAAAAATCCTCAAGGCATACATTGATAATAGCCCAAATTTTATTGCTAGACATTAGAAGAGTACCTGAATAACTTGAGGTTACACGATAATTCAAATTATGAATATTTCCTTCTACCATCACAAAAATTTAGTGATATTGTGACCCTACCTAAAATATTTAGTCTCTGAAAATTTCAATTTCCTTAACTGTAAGCATTCCTAACTCGAAAAGTCAAATGGCATGCTTCAGGTAATTCAATTAGTACTTTATAAGAGAAGTGTTAAGCCGGTTCATCTCAATTTGCATTCCCTTTCAGAATTAATATAAATCTTTCTTAATTTGGATCACATTATATTCTTTCAGCCTAGAGTTATATAAATCAGGAGACATGATCTTCCCTCAGTTCTTGAGGAACTCTACCAAACGAGTTTAGTCAGCCTGTATGTTTCAATAGTTACTGAAAACAAATGCAGTATTTCTGGAGGCCAGAGAGATAGCTCAACAGGCTAAGTCTACGTTTTGTATGCAGGAGGCCCACGTTTAATCCCCAGTATCAATCAGATGTCTCTTAAGTACCACAGGAGCAGCTTCCAAACCCTGCATGATGTGGCTGCCCCCTAACCTTCCTCCAAAATAGAAATGCAGTTGCATTGAACATTGAAACTCGGAATTGAATTGGATTCTAATACTAGTAGTTCCCTGGATCCCCAAGAAGACCCCATTGCTATGGGCATGGCTTAGCATGCCCTTCTATTCTTCCCAAGTTAACTTGCATTGCCAGGACTGCTAGGGAGTCAGTACTTTAAGAAAACACATGCCTTGGCATTTTGAATCTTAGGGACCAACACTTAATGCCTGTGTTTTCAAGTGTTTTCTGTAGGAATTCTTGTCACTGACTAATTTCACTGAAATACTTTGAGCCTGCTCTTCGCTGTCTGTCACATATGTCATGCCAAGAGCAACTGTGAAAGTTTCACTAAGTCATAGGGACTTTAAACAAGGAACATTATAAATATGTATCTCCTTGGGACTCTTTTTTGATGAATACGGCTCCAATTTGCTGAATCTAGCATCCAGGAAGTTTTAAGCTGTGGAATTTTTTCAAATTAGGAGAGCTTCCAAGTTTTTATTTGCCTGAGAGGAAATTGTGTTCTTTGTTGACATTTTTACTTTGTATTCCATAAAATTTGGAAATGTGTCCAAACAGTGGGGGTTGGGGTGGAGGAATGAAGCTATTTATAGAAGGCAGGGATGCAATTCAATTCTGAATTCCAGATCCATCTCTTGGGGCTACTTCAGTTCCCATATCCTCAAACCTTCAGATGGATGCTTCACTGGTAAATGCTGTATAATGCCATATAGCCATGGCATTGTCAACATAATACGCAAAAGGATAGCAGCACCAGGAGCAATGCTGGAACCAGATCTAAAGACCTAGGATGAATTAAGTTGAGCTATTATGCAAAGCAACCTGGAGTGGTTTAGAAAGTGGGCAGAGATTATAATCGTGGGACAGTCAACTTAGACGACTTAGACAGTCAACTTAGATAGTCAAATAGAGAAAGGAAAGGAATCCTTTGTGAGAAAAATGGTCAGGGAGATAGTATTAGGTTAAGGCACATCCCTTGGGGCTAGAGCAATAGCACAGTGGGTAGGGCATTTGCCTTGCACGCAGCCAACCTGGGTTTGATTCCCAGCAACCCATATGGTCTCCTGAGCACCGCTAGGAGTAATTTCTGAGTGCATGAGTACATGAGCCAGGTGTAACCCCTGAGCATTGCCGGGTGTGACGCAAAAAGAAAAAAAAGTACATGCCTTGCGTATATTATACTCCTGTTAAATCCCCAGAACCACCTGGACCCCCAA